GGGTGGTTGTGTGGACCCCGGGGCAGGGAGGTGGTGGGTGCCCTGATGGTGTGGGGGGTGGGGAGACCTGTGGGCAGGAGGGTGGTGCTGCCATGATGGTGTGGTGGTGGGTAGAACCCCCGTTTGGCAGGAGAGGTGGTGGTGCCCTGAGGTGTGGTGGGGTGAGACTCGTGGGCAGGGAGGTTTGGGGGCGCCATGATGGGTTGGGGGGTGGTGAGACACTCGTGGGCAGGAGAGGTGGTGGCTGCCATGATGGTGTGGTGGTGGTGAGACCCTCGTGGGCAGGAGAGGTGGTGGCTGCCATGATGGTGTGGTGGTGGTGAGACACTCGTGGGCAGGAGAGGTGGTGGCTGCCATGATGGGTGTGGTTTGTGTGAGATCGTGGGAGGGAGGTGGTGGCTGCCATGGGTGTGGTGGTTGAAACCTCGTGGCAGGAGAGGTGGGGGTGCCTGTGGTGTGGGGTGGTGAACCCTGTGGGGAGGAGAGTGGGGCTGCCATGATGGTTGGTGGTGGTGAGCATCGGGGGAGAGGTTGGTGGTGCCATGATGGTGTGGGGGGGTGGTGGACCTCGTGGGCGGAGATTTGGGGGCGCCCTGATGGTGTGGTGGGGTGGCCCTCGTGGGGAGGAGAGGTGGTGGGTCCATGATGGTGGGTGGTGGTGAGACACTCGTGGGGAGGGGGTGGTGGCCCGCCATGTGGGGTGGTGTGGTGAGACCCGTGGGAGAGAGGTGGTGCGCCTTTATGGTGTGGTGGTGGTGAGACCTCGTGGGGAGGAGAGGTGGTGGCGCCTGTGGTGTGGGGGTTGGGGGACCCTCGTGGGCAGGGAGGGTGGTGGCTGCCATGATGGGTGGTGGTGGGGACCTCGTGGGGAGGGGGGGTGGTGGCTGCCATGTGGTGGGTGGTGGTGAGGGCCATGTGGGCAGGAGAGGTGGTGGCTGCCATGATGGTGTGGTGGTGGTGAGACCCTCGTGGGCAGGAGAGGTGGTGGCTGCCATGATGGTGTGGTGGTGGTGAGCCCTCGTGGGCAGGAGAGGTGGTGGCTGCCATGATGGTGTGGTGGTGGGGAGCCCCCTCGTGGGCAGGAGGGTGGTGGCTGCCAGAGGTGTGGTTGGTGGCATCGGGGCAGGAGAGGGGGGCTGCCTGATGGTGTGGGTTGTGGGGCCTCGTGGGAGGAGAGGTGGTGGCTGCCATGATGGTTGGGGGGGGTTGAGCCTCGTGGGCAGGGAGGTGGGGCTTTCCATGATGGTGTGGGGGTGGTGAGCCAAATCGGGGCAGGAGAGGTGGTGGCTGCCATGATGGTGTGGTGGTGGTGAGACACTCGTGGGCAGGAGAGGTGGTGGCTGCCATGATGGTGTGGTGGTGGTGAGACACTCGTGGGCAGGAGAGGTGGTGGCTGCCATGATGGTGTGGGGGTGGTGGACCCTTGGGGCAGGAGAGGTGGTGGCTGCCATGATGGTGTGGTGGTGGTGAGAACTGTGGGGAGGGGGAGGGGGTGGGGCCATGATGGGGGGGTGGTGGGGAGACCTCGGGGCAGGAGAGGTGGTGGGCCTGATGGTGTGGTGGTGGTTTAGACCCCCCGTGGGCAGGAGAGGTGGTGGGCTGCCCTGATGGGGTGGTGGTGGTGGACACTCGTGGGCAGGGGGGGTGGTGGCTGCCCTTTAGGTGTGGTTGGTGGGGAGACCCTGTGGGCGGAGAGGTGGTGGCTGGCCTGATGGTGTGGTGGTGGGGACCCCCGTGGGCAGGGAGGGGGTGGGCTGCCATGATTGGGGGGTGGTGGTGAAAACCCCCGGGGGAGGGAGGTGGTGGCTGCCATGATGGTGTGGTGGTGGAGCCTCGTGGGCAGGAGAGGTGGGGCTTTCATGATGGTGTGGGGTGGTGGACCCTCGTGGGGCGGAAGGTGGTGGCTGCCTGATGTGGTTTTGTTAAAACTTGCCTTTTTTTAAATTTTTTGGCGAGAGGGGTTAACCTGGGTTTTTAAAGGAAACCTCCCCAGGAAGGTGGTGTTTCCATGGGTTTTGGTAAACCTCCCCCCTGGGCAAAGGTGCTCCTGGGGTTTTTTGGTGAACAGGGAGAGGTGTGGTGATATTTAAATTCCACCGTGCGGAAAAATTCGGTCTCAGTGTGGGCCGGGTGGGATTGAGGGGCACCCCGGTTTATTAGGTGGGGTGGGAGGGAAAAAGGGGGGGGGTGGGGAAAACCAATGGGGGGGGGGGCCAGGAAGGGCGGGGGGGGCCGGGGGGAAAGGGGGGGTGGGTGAGGGGGAATGGGAAAACCCAAAAAAAAAACCCAAAAATTTGGGGGGGGGCCGGAGAGGGGGGGTTGGGTTGCCGGGGGGTGGGGGGGAAACCGGGGGAGGGCGGGGGGAAAAACCCGGGGGGGGGTGGGGGAAAAATTGGGGGAGGGTGGGGGGAAAGTGGGGGGAGAAAAGGGAGGGGAAAGGGCCCTGAGGGGGGGGGGGGGAAACCTGGAGGGAGGGTGGGGGGGAAAAGGGCCTGGGGGAGGGTGGGAGGGGGGAAATGGGGGAGGGTGGGGGGGGAAACCTGGGGGGGAAGGGTGGGGCCTGGGGGGGGGGTGGGGGGAAACCGGAGGGGGGGTGGGGGAAAGGGGGGAGGGTGGGGGAGGGAAAAATGGTTTTGCCTGGGGGGGGTGGGGGGAAAGTGGGGGAGGGTGGGGGGTGCCTGGGGGGTGGGGGGAAACCTGGAGGGAAGGTGGGGGAAACTTGTGACAATCTTGGGGACAAAATTTTAAATTTAACTGGCGGGGAGATTAATTTGGGTCATTGGGCATAACCCCGGGGGGATTGGGTTTTGGGGGGGAAAGTGATTTATGGGGTATTTTGGGTTATATGGGGGAGGGTGGGGGTTAGGGGGAATAGGAATAGGGGGGATGAGGGAATAGGGGGGATAGGTGGGAAAGGGAGGGGGTAGGGTACTTTTAGGGTGGGGTGATGGGTTAGTGGGGGTGGGGTTGGGGTTTTTAGGGTGGGGTGGGGGGAGGGATGGGGGGGGAAGTGAGGGGGAGTAGGGGGGAAAGGGAGGGGGGGGAGGGGGGGAGGAAGGGTGGGATGAGGGTGGGAGGGGGAGGGAAGGAGAAAGGGAGGGGAAAGAGGGAAAAGGTTCAGGGAAAAGCCCCCAATTTTAAATATATTTTAAAACATAAAAAAATAATAAAAAATTTAATAAAATAAAAATTTAAAAACACGAAAGGGTGGAAATGGGGGGTGGGTGGGGGGGGTTGGGGGGGGGTGGGGGGGGTGGGGGGAAACCTAATAGGAAATCTTTAATTTAGTGATCCTAAAAAGGGGGGGGGAAGCCTGGAGGCGTGAAGAAAGCCCCAAAAGGATTTAGAAGTTTGGGAATAAAAAGCCAAAATTAACCTTTAGGGAGGGGAAAAAAAAAACTTGAAGTTTAAAAACCCGGGGGGTAAAGCCCCTGGGAAATGAACAAACTGTGGTTAAAAACTTAAAATTTTTTTTTTAAAAGAAACTGGAACAAAAACTTGGGGAGGAAAAAAGGGACTTTTTGGTTTAAACAAGCTTTAGGTCCTTTCCGGATAACAGCTTGGTGATAAGGGCCGAAAAAGGTCTCTTAAAAAGGGTTGGATATAAAATTTAAAAAAATTGTGGCTGGTAGGGAGATTGGATTTGTAAAGTGGTAAAAAAATACAAAGTGGAAATAAGTGGGTTTTAAGAAGGGATAGTTTATTATTTTTAAATTTTTTAATATTTTTATTTTTTTTGGAGGGAGTTTTTTTGGGTTTAAGTTTAGGGGGGGTTTATAAATATTGATTTTTTTGAACGGAAAGAGGGGTAGTTTTTTAGCCAGTAAATTTTGGGGGGTTTTTTCTTTTTCTTTTTTTAATTTATTAAAAAAAAATTTTTTTTTTTTATAAATTTATATTTATTTTATTTTTTTTATTTTTATTTATATATTGCAAAAGATACATTTATTTTTTTTTTTTTTGGGTATGGGCGGGTGTTCACACAATAAATATTTAATAGGAAAAAAATTGGTCTGAGACTTGGATTTCAAAGTTCAAACCCCCCCTAGAAAAATTTTTGGTATAACCCGGTATTCTTTTTTACTAATTCTTGTGTAAGGGTAAATCACCCGAAAATAACCTCTTGTTTAAAACAAATTTCTGAATTAATGGTTCCATGGCCAAAACGGGGCCCTAACCCCGAAGAGAAAAATTCTTTACTTAAAAAAAAAGTCAAAATACAGTGACTGGAAAACCTGATAAAACCCGCCAAAATAGGGGGAAACTTTTAACGTTTTGGTTATTACCATTTTAAAATAACAAAAGCGGAGGTAAGGGGAAAAAGTAAAACATAAATGTGGGCCCCCCGTTTAATTTGGCCCCTTTTTCCCCTTTTTTTTTTAATTCGTAAAAAACTTTCCAATTTTTTATGGGGAAGGTTAAAATGTGGTCCTATAATTTTGGTCTTAATTTTTTCCCCAATCTTTTCTGGGGACAATTTGTGGTGATCTTTTTTTGAGCCTACCTGGCTGGGTTTTTTGTATACTTTGGGTTATTAACCAACTGGGGTTTTAGTTTAAAAATGGTTGTTTTTAGTTTGTTTGGGGCCCATTTACGTAATGGCCGTGATTATTTTTTTTATTTAAAAAAGAACCCTTAGAGAATTTAAACTTGATTTTCAATGGGGAAAAGATTTGCTAGTGGATTTTTAATTTTTTAAAAATGTTCCGGGAAACTGGATTTTTTTCAACTCTTGGGTTTTGTAAATATGAATATTTTTCTGCCCTTTTATTCAGAAAAAGAAAAAAATTTGGTATTTGTTTCAGTGTTGTGCTGCATTGCCAAAAATTATTTTCTGTTTAAAAATTTTCCGGGGACTGGATTTTTTTTTTTTTGCAATTTTTGGGAGCTGAAACTTAGCAATTTTCTTGTTTTGGGGCAATACAAAAAACCGTAACCGTAAAATTATACTAGAAGAGTTGGTTCTTTAATGGTTTTCTTTTGGTTTGGGGTTTTTCTGTTTAATCCAACTTGAAAGGGTTGAAATTCTTTAATGTGGCCAAAACTAAAATTGGTGGTCCTTTAAATTTTGGCCTCTTAGGAGGCTGCATTAAAGGCCCATCAAAATTTTCCCCACCTTTTTTGAATTCTTTTATATCGGGATTATTTCCTGTTTCCTCTGAATGTCTTAGTGTCTGCGTCATGCCAATAATTTCTCTGTGGAAGATTTGTTTTCTTTTTTGTAATATCTTCAGTCTTTGAAGCAGCTGAGTAAGATCACTATTGCAGTCTTCAGATATCACTTTCTGTAATGGACAAGCTTTTACACTCTCACTGAGATATAACGGCCTTTCAGTTCTCAGCGTTTCCAGGACTGTTCTGTGTTCAGTCTCTCAAGACTGTAGCACAGAGAACGCTATATGGGTTCACCTTTATTTTTCTCCAGTCAGTATTTTGTAGAAATATTCTCACCCTTCTCACTTGTTAGATGCTTTTATGAGTCGCATCTTAGGAATGTTTGCTCGTCTTTTTTCACAAAAACGTAGGACTGAAGCAAATATGGCCAAGTAGCTCCGGTTCTGTAGATCAAGAACGCTTCACTAGCATCAAGACATAAGTACAGGACCAAGACGGAGATAGTGAGCGTGATCCAGAAGCTCTATTTCCTGGCACGCAGATTTTTTTATCTTACATACAGAGGTTTCATTTCCTTGGATTCAGAGGCTTCCCTTCCTTGAACCCTAAGGCTTCCCTTCCATGAACCCTAAGGTTTCCCTTCTTTGAACCCTGAGACTTCCCTTTATCAATTGAACCCAGAGGCTTCCATTTTTTGAACCTAGGGGCTTTCCTTTCTTGAACCCAGAGGCTTTCCTTTCTTGAACCTAGGGGCTTCCCTTCTTTGAACCCTGAGGCTTCCCCTGCAGAAAGTCACTCAACAATAAGCGAGTTTCTTGATCACATAATGTTGCACAGTTGCTCCCTGCAGGGTGGTCAGCAGGCAGCCTAGCCTCCCTGCAGGGAAGGTTGCAACGATGGAAGGACAGAGAGAGAGGAAGGAAGGAGGGAGGAAGAAAATGAGAAACGGAAGAAGAGAAAAAGTGAAAGGTAGATTAAGTTTTGGAAAGGAGACAGAAGGGAAGAAGATAGACATGAAAGAAAGGAACGATAACTTGAGAGGGAGAGAAGGAAGTGGGAAAGAAGTAAAGGATGAGGAGAGGAAAAAGTGAATGGAAGGGAGGAAAAATAGTGAATGGAAGGGGAGGAAAAATAGTGAGTGGAGGAAAGATTGAGAAATAGTGGAGGAAAGGTAGAACGGGAGAAGGGAAAAGGGTGAGTGGGATGAAAGAAAGCTTCAATGGGAGGGAAGGAAAGGTTGAGCATGAGGCGAGGAAACGTTAATTGACTCAGGAAAGATAGAATGGGAGGGGAGGAAAGAGTGAGTGGACAGGGAGAAAAAATTGATTCTGGAAATAAAAGCTGGAAAGGAGGGGAGGAAGGGTTGAGTGGGAGGGGAGGAAAAGTTGATTGGAGAGGATAAGTTGAAAGAGAGCAGAGGAAAGGTTGAGTGGGAGGGGAGGTATGGTTGAGTGGGAGGGGAGGTAAGGTTGAGTGGGATACACAAGAGCAAGTCGGGGTACGACACTGTCAACAGTGATATAACGGGGGCAAAATACATCATGTTCACAATTATTACATTCGCTTCAGACCTGGGATGAAAACTTGCCACGGCTTTAAGTGCTCTCACCTTCTCTTTGTATTGGCAACAAATTCTTGTTAGAACCAGTCGAAGAAGAGGGACCTCAAAGCCTAGATACCTGTATCTGGTTACGAAGTATATTCCCCCAGACCCATCATGCAACTGGATTCTGCGGATTGCACTCTCCTAGGGAGGACACATCTTAAGAAACTCCGTTTTCGTAACCAGGTGTAGGCTGCCATAACAGGGCGTTGCAAGTATAGGCTGCCATAACAAGGTGTTGCAGGCGTAGGCTGCCATGACAAGGTATTACACGTGTATGACAAGGTGTTGCAGGTGTAGTCTGCCATAGAAAGGTCTTCCAGGTGTAGGCTGCCATGACAGGGTGTTGTAAGTGCATTCTGCCATTGAAAGGTCTTCCAAGTGCAGGCTGCCATGACAGCGTGTTGCAGGTGTAGTCTGCCATGGAAAGATATAGCAAATCTATGCTGCCATAGTAATGTGAAGCAGATGTAGGTTGTCATGACAAGATGTAGCAGGTCTTGGCTGCTGTAGCAAGGTGAGGTAGATTTTGGGTGTGATGGCAATGCGTAGCACTCGTAGGCTATTATAGGAAGGTACAGTAGGTGTTGTTTGATGTAGCTGGTGTAGGCTGCCAAAGCAGGTGTAGAGGATGTAGTCTGCTATGGAAAGATGAAGCAGTTTTTCTAGACGTAGGCTGCCAGTTGCAAGATATAGGATGTCTTACAGGTGTAGGATGCCATGGCAAGCAGTAGCAGGTGTAACAGGTGTGGGTTTTCATAGCAAGATCTAGCAGGTGCAAGCTTCAATGTCAAGATGTAAGTAACGTAATAGCAAGCTGCAGTGACAAGGGGTACCAGGTGTTGGCTACACGTGCAAGGTATTGCAGGTGTTGCTTACACCTGCTGCACCACAGCAAGGTGGGACAGATGTAGGTTGCCATGGCAAGATGTTGCAGGGGTAACAGGTGTATCTGGCATAGCAGGTGTAGGCTGCCATGGTACCAGTCAAGATCGATATCCATAAGACAGTAGATTACACAGCACCTCCAAGGTCTCTGTGACACTCATATAGCTCCCACGTACTGTGGTACCTTGTGGCTCCCACGTACTGTGGTACCTTGTGGCTCCCACGAACTGTGGTACTTTGTGGCTCCCACGAACTGTGGTACCTTGTGGCTCCCACGAACTGTGGTACCTTGTGGCTCCCACGAACTGTGGTACCTTGTGGCTCCCACGAACTGTGGTACCTTGTGGCTCCCACGAACTGTGGTACCTTGTGGCTCCCACGAACTGTGGTACCTTGTGGCTCCCACGTACTGTGGTACCTTGTGGCTTCCACGTACTGTGGTACCTTGTGGCTCCCACGTACTGTGGTACCTTGTGGCTCCCACGTACTGTGGTACCTTGTGGCTCCCACGTACTGTGGTGCCTTGTGGCTCCCACGTACTGTGGTACCTTGTGGATCCCACGTACTGTGGTACCTTGTGGATCCCACGTACTGTGGTACCTTGTGGCTCCCACGTACTGTGGTACCTTGTGACACCCAGGTACTATGGTACCTTGTGGCTCCCACGTACTGTGGTACCTTGTGGCTCCCAGGTATTGTGGCACCTTGTGACTCCCAGGTACTGTGGTACCTTGTGACACCCAGGTACTATGGTACCTTGTGGCTCCCACCTACTGTGGTACTTTGTGGCTCCCAGGTAATGTGGTACCTTGTGACTCCCAAGTACTGTAGTACCTTGTGGCTCCCAGGTACTATGGTACCTTGTGACTCCCAGGTAGTATGGTACCTTGTGGCTCTCGGGTACTGTGTTACCTTGTGGCTCCTAGGTACTGTGGTTCTTTCCGGCTCCCAGGTACTGTGGTACCTTGTGACTCCCAGGTACTATGGTACCTTGTGGCTCTCAGGTACTGCGGTACCTTGTGATTCCCAGGTACTGTGGTAGTTCTTGGCTCCCAGGTACTGTGGAACCTCATGGCTACTGCGTAGTGTAGTACCTTGTAGCTCCCAGATACTGTGGCACCTTGTGGTCCCCAGGTACTGTGGCACCTTGTGGCTCCCAGGTACTGTGGTACCTTGAGGCTCTCGAGTACTGTGGTACCTTGTGGCTCCCAGGCACTATGGTACCTTGTGGCTCTCAGGCACTATTATACCTTGTGGCTCCCAGGCACTATGCTACCTTTTGGCTCCCACACACTGTGGTACCTTGTGCCTACCAGGTACTGTAGTACCTTGTGGCTCCCAGGAATTGTGGTACTTTGTGACTCCCGGGTACTGTGATACCTCGTGGCTCTCAGGTATTGTCGTACCTTAGAGCGCCCAGGTACTGTGGTAAGTTGTGGTTCCCGGGAACTGTGGTACTTTGTGACTCCCAGGTACTGTGGTACCTTGTGACTCCCAGGTATTGTGGTACCTTATGGCTCCCAGGTACTGTTGTAAGTTGTGGTTCCCGGGTACTGTGGCACCTTGTGGTTTCCAGTTACTGTGGCACCTTGTGGCTCCCAGTTACTGTGCTATCTCGTAGCTGCCAGGAACTGTGGTACCTCGTGGCTCCCAGGCACCCTGGTACCTTGTGATTCCCAGGTACTGTGATACTTCTTGGCTCGTACGTACTGTGGCATCTCTTGGCTCCTAAGTACCGTGGTACCTCGTGACTCCAGGGTACTGTGGTACCTCGGAGCTCTCAGATACTGTGGTACATAGCTTAAATATCGACCGTCAATAAGGTTAGACACCGAATGTTACCAAGAATACAGACCAAGAATGAAGATTACTTGTACAGGAACCATCACAGGCCCTCTTCTCTCTCTCTCTCTCTCTCTCTCTCTCTCTCTCTCTCTCTCTCTCTCTCTCTCTCTCTCTCTCTCTCTCTCTCTCTCTTATAACAGTTGTACATTAATTCGGTCATTAAGGTGGGTCATAATAACTGGTTATTGGAAAACAACACAATATTGTCAGGGGAACGCCTTCCTCCTGATCAAAAAAAATGAAAAAATAAATAAAGACGAGGTTTAATAATGAAGATTGTCTTTAGTAGTTTTTAATTAAAATAAATAAAATTGGTAGCTGTTGGTTCTGGTACGGTGTTTGGGCCCGAGTAAGTAAGACCCAGGATGGTTCTCTGATGTTGAAAGAATACTGTAGGTTATCCTGGGCGGATGGTATCAATCCGATGTTCTGGATACTCCTATACTACTTAGTTGGAGCACCACAAGTAGGATGAAAAAGGCGAGGAGAGGTCGAATTATGTTACTTGGTCCAATAGACAAGTATCTTGCTTGCTTATCTGGCGTCTACCCTGGAGGAGGGCCAGCGGCAGAGCTTATAACAGAAAATATGCTGGTTACCAAAAGTTAAATGAGTAACATTAAGAAAGACAAAGGGTGATATACAATGTCCAACACATTACTGGTAACCAGGAAAATAAAAGAAAAACGAACAGAAATACTCCTGGTAGATCACCTTACCTGATCAGGAGAAGAGTGGAGGTGAAGCGACTCTCCGAACTTCGACACCAGGGAAGGTTAATACTACCAGAAGTAGAAATTAAAGGACATCAGACACAGGAACTGTAGTTACTCC